CCCCAAAACCCCAAAACCCCAAAACCCCAAAACCCCTTATTTATAACACCGTATTGATTATAGACTAAATTTTCTTAACCCAAAAGGCTTTGTGAGGCCGTTGTTGTCTTTCTTAATGCCGTTGCTAATCTTTTCTAGCAATTTCGTCATCCTGTTGGTCTTCAGCCTGTAGTTCTTCTTAATCTTATCACTATTATGTGGGAACAATCTTGATATTGTACTATTGACAACTTTATTTATTACGAAGACGCTGTTTAATAGACAGTCTCTTGGGCTTTCGATTGAAAAATTCGAGTTTGCAGAGGTTATGGCGGCTCTGAGAGTGAGGATCAGGGAGAATTTGGGATTTTTTAGGAATAATTGGTTTAGATTTAGGGTTTTCTGTGAGGTTTAGAAAGAATAGAGTACTTAGGGCGGCAGGATGATGTTTTGATGTGAATTTTGGTGTTTTTGAATTGACGTTTATAATGATCTCTTGACTCATCATCCTTCCTGAAATATTGATCAGAGACATAATATTTTGCTTTGAATATAAAAAGAATGCACTTCTTTTAAAACGAAGCAGGGCTGAATAATTATGTTTTTAATCAAAATTGCTTTTATCCCTTGTAATAAGCTTTACCTCTTTTCATTTTGTTATTTTCCTTATTTCTGGTAGTCTTCGCTCTAGATTTACCTGCATAATTATTCAGTTTCAATCAATGAGGTTTTGATCTGAACTTCGATTTATTCAGTGTAATATTTCATTCTTGACTCGGGGTCCAGGAATTATTCACTGATTGTATATGTCCTAAGGGATATTTTCCTGTCAATAGACTTGACGAGACTACAGTTAACAATCTAGCACCTACTACGCACACTAGAGTACCTTTCATTATACTTCTGTTTTATATCATCTTCTAAATACTCTGAAATGTAAGGTTACCTTCAGAATCATGAGGATGCCCAGGATTTTGTAATGTAATTTTACGCCCTAGTGCGAACTGTTTCATAATTCTCTTATTCTTTGATTTTTCCTTCCTAAATAGTCCAGATAAACTCAGAACGGACCAACAAGAAATGAAGAACTGGTTCTATGAAGCATTACTTATACTCCTTCAGCATTCTCTTGAGGTATAGATCTTTAATAGAACTATTCTGGATAATATTATGATAGATTTTCCCCCAGGTAGAATCAGAGGATCCTTCCTCTTCGAAACTGATGCTAGGGTAACCAAATGCAGGTATTTGACCCTTGATGTTACCAAAATAACCATTGAGATCTTCATAAACAGGCTTTGTAACAGTCCTAAGTTCTTCTAATTCCTTCTGTTTACATCTATAATACCTCATTACCCTACTTACTTATGCTCAGTGTGTGCTGGGTCATAATTTTCATCACTAAATTGAAAAGCCTTCTTTAAAAACTTCTTATCCTGAAAAAACATTTAAAAATATCAATATTTTTTATCCAAACTGGGGTTTTGGGGTTTTGGGGTTTTGGGGTTTTGGGG